GTCCTGAGTTAAAACCATAGACTGTATACAATAACGGACAGAGTCACGCCTATCTCCGCCGTTCATAGGAGTTGGCCATGAAAAGTGCTTGCATGGAGAAATCCAAGATGGCCGCGAGTGGTCCCGCCCACAAGAAAATTGTGAAAAAAAACGTATCTGCGCATGCGTCAGCCGGCTCAGCTCCATTCATTTGAACGAGAGACTTCAAAAATTCATGATGGTGAATCCAACCTCTCTGTCGAACACACAGACAGAACCTTAAGAGTGAATTGGCTGAGTACGTTTTTTCACTTTTCTCTCTGGAAGTGACAGAGGCTAAAACAAACCTGCATGTGACAACTAATACTATCTATTTGAAGCAGCTATAGAACGAGTGCGATGGATTTCATTACTTTTGAAAGTCTTGTACCCCGGCATACACACACTTTTGCTTTCAAATCATCAAAAGCGTACATTTGTAGATCTGTTAGTTTGGCAGAAACCACACACAGCAAAACCACAACGCTCTCATTTCAAAACTTTTAATCACATCCTCCCAAGAAGGTGACGTCAATTAAATTCAGAAGAACAACCATTGTGCTTGTGGTCAAAATGGAAAAGTTTCATTCATCACCAGCATTTGTACAGAAACAGGTTTTAGAATGATGCATACAAATATAGGGATGTTTTACAATGAACAAGTAGGTACAACAAAAATAAAATCCTGGTTATATATTGATACACTGCAAAAAATGCTAAAATAGTAGGTAATAATTGCTCAAGTGTTTTTTTAATCTTGATTTGAGTACATTCTGACTCTATAAAAACAATATTTGCCAATGGGACAGTCATTTAGTCAAAACTGTGGCTTTATTTTCTCATTCCAAGGGAGACATTTCTTGTATATTATGAAAACAATTTAATCTTGCTCGTTCCACTGGCAAATCTTGTTAAAAGGCAGTCAAAATGAGCTAATTTTAAGATACATATAGCCAGATTTCAACAATTTTTGACTGACATTTCATCACTTTTTGTAGTGTAGAAGCGTCTAACATGGAGCAGCTTGTATGTTCCCTTAATCACCTATAAAACATAAAAAATCCACTCAGTACCAGAGTAATTGCAGTGATCTGTGTGAGTACTACTATTGCATAGATGTGGTCTCGCCGACTATCACTGGAACGAACCGTCAGCTAGCAAGAGCAGTGCTTCTCAAAGTGTGGGACCTGACAAGATGGCAACAAAAAGCAGGTTTAGCTGATATTTGCTGTACTTTGAAATATTTCTTCTGCTGTAGTCTGTTCATTGTTAGTCACCCAGCCTCCTCCATCTGCACCGGTGGACTGGTCTCCCCCGGGCCCGGACTCGTGGGAGCTGCCTCAGTCCTGCATCGCTTGGACCTGGTCCTCGTTCTACAGCCTGAGTCCTGGATCTATGGCCTTTCTTAGGAGTGGATTCCTGCCTCAATGTGGGCCTCCCTGAAGTTTTCTTTCGTTAGAGTTGTTCCTTGCCGAAGCAGGAGGGTTCTAAGGACAGTGAGGACGATCCAGGACACTCGACATTCAACACAATTAATGGACACTGGTCGTCTGCCCCTCATGGACAGATGGCTCTATGTATTTTCTATCACAACATTTCTGATTCTCTGATCTGTGTTGGGTAATGAGTACAATAATCAAAAAATGAGATGGATCAATGAGGAATGGTGAGCCCTCAATGCACGCTAAGTCAACTTGTTATTTGAATGTCTAAGTTATCCCTGTTTGAAAACCACTGCTCCAAATGAAATGTAGAGAAACAGAAATGAAATGGCAGCAGTTTGACAGTGAGAGAAGCTGCTATCGTTTCCCATGTGGCCTCTCTCTCTCACAATCAAAGCCAGCAGCTCTCTGACACACGCATCTCTCTGTTGCTCCTGTCCTATTATTTCTCTCACATAATGTAAATGGTGCTAGTTAAAAAATACTGTGGTTTTTTTTGTAAAGTGCTCCTCAAACCCAAACGCGTGACATCACCTGCGGGGCATGTTCCTCTCTCTGCCGTTTTTTTAGATCACAGGCGAGAAATGTGAACGTTGGGTGAACTGACGGAGAAGATATAAAGGCGTGTGATTACGGTGCAGAGGAAGCATTAGCACGAGAACTCCCAGAGCAGTCGTTTTGACGGTTCCCATTCAGAAAATCTCGACAAAAAGTGAGTCAGTAATTTATTCGGTTATTCACCTTTACTCCTTTTGATAATAAGTAAAATCTTGAAATAAAGCGTACAAACTTTACGGCTACCAATTGTGAACTGCTACGGGTAAACAGTGTGTTGCTATGCTCTAGAGGAAAACCAAGCTAGACTAGAACCAGAACCAGTCCAGGATCAGCACCATGGAGAGAGACAAATCTGGCTTTCACTGCTATGGAATGTTGTTTTGGCAAGCGACCAAAAATTAATACATTTGAAGGGAGCAGTCAAAATGGCAACACATTTCCTGAGTTTGAACTGTTTGATTCTCTGATTTATGTTGGCGAATCGACAACTTTCCAGTGCTCGCTTCAGAACTTCATATCACTGCTCAAAACTGCCTACATTTAACTATTTAGTTTAGCTTTTATCATGTATAATTTGTTCTTTTTTGTTCTTTTGTAAAGCGTCTTTGAGTGTCCAAAAAGATCTATAAAAGGACAATATATTATGATGTATTACATTTGTTTACAGTAAGTTCTCCGTAATAACTGCTGTTGTGATTGAGGCCAAAACTACATGTACGTGAGCTGACATGAGAGACTTCCAACACTCAAACCCGTCAAATTGACTGCTGTGGGAGTTCTGGTGCAAACAGTGCATATGTGAGGAGTATTGATAAAGCAAACACACAGAAGCGCGGACATATTGATCATGTGACCAGTCTCAATGCATTGGTTTCGGTTTTGCTTTGACATTGTGGACTGTACATACAAAGATACAGGAAGGAAACATAATATGGAAAATCAACATTTCTAAACGTTTAACCTTGTTTCAAAGTATTTCTCTCATCAAACACAGACCTGGAGTTGTCTTTAGATCCATCCACGCTAATATCAGTCCTGCAATACTATGATGTCATTGTACCACTATGACATCACACTGAAAACAGAAGCTTTCTCATAAATTTGCTTTAGTCATTTCTCAGGTGAAACTACATTCTTCCCAATCGCATATTTGTGGTTGCAGCTAGTTTTTCAAATAATGATAAAAAAATAAAAAATACAATTCTGGTGGTAGTAAAAGGTAAAAAGTCTTATTTATAAAACCCATGGTATTTCACATTCTAAAAAAAAATGAAATGACAAAGTCTAAAGTATCATTATCAGTTGGAATGGCCTAATATAATGCATCATATTTAGTTTTCTATAACAAAACTATTTTTAATGGCAAAAAACAGCTGCATAGTCAGACAACAGAAGATATATTGTACCTGGTCCCAGTGTAGTCTGGTCTGTGAGTGTGTGTTCAAGTAAAAACATACATTATTATTGCATTTTAGACTTGTTTCCTGTTGGCTTAAATAGCTACAAAGCGTGAAACTGTGGAATAAGTTAGCAAGACTTAAGAGTGAAGCAGAAATCTTGCTAATGTTGATAATCTTCAGGCCTCTCCGACATTTGCATCTGCCCATATTTCCCTTTGATAAAAGAAGTGCCCTGATATCTCACAGCTTGTAATACATGACATAAAATCCTATAAATGTTGGCATTTATCGTCCCATTAAAAACATCTAAACGCAGAGAAAAATGACTAAAATATGAAAAACATGGTTGAATTAGGACAAATGTAATGGACTTCTGTGTATTTTGTCTATACCCTTTAGGCGCCGAATCCAGGACATACACCATTTTGTTTTTTTGTGTATTTCTGTTATTGGTTTTTAGTGGTTTGCTGCACTTTTAAGTTTAACATATAAAGTTTCAGGTCTCCATCTTTTGTCTGTTTTGCCTCAAAGCTCTGAATAAACGCAGGCGCCCAAAAGGTTACAAGATGATGCTAATGGACCAAATCGCATGAGTCTAAGTTCAAGCCGTTTTACTCCACTCATCAGAGACAATACTTGTTTTTCAGAGTAACAAGATAAACAAGACAATTATACCTGCTCCATTAGTGCACCCCCAGAGTTCTGAGTTTACACGGTCGGAGCGGTTTGGTGCAAAAAATTCTAAAAAAACGTACGCAATTCTCCCATATACTCTTGAGGGCGCTAGGGGCAACAGACACTAAAACATGTTAAATTTAAGATTAAGATTAAGAGATCCTTTATTCGTCCCACCGTGGGAAAATTTCACTATTTTTGGAGACACATATAGTAAAATAATGACTAGTATAGATTCAATTGGATGCCGATAAAGTGTTAGTATAGCCTAGTATGGAAATATTAGGAGAGTTGTTAGCTAATAGCTGTTAGCATTTGGACGAAACAGCTATGAGGAGTATGGTTATTCACATAATTTTACAAGTAAACACCCGCTTTAAGGGCGTAACCACAAAAGAGTAGCTGACCAATCCGCAACTTCGACACTAAAGTAAGTAAGTAAGTTTTTATTTATATACCGCCTTTTCACTGCAGATCTGAGTCTCAAAGCGGTTTACAATTGTTAATTTTGGGCATTTGTCTCTCACTCCACACAGAGATGGGAGATGGGTACAGGAAGAACATACCAGAACTATTGGACATATTTTTAGTGGTAGGGGAAACCGGAGTACCCGGAGGAAACCTACGCAGACACGGGGAGAACATGCAAACTTCACTCAGAAAGGCCCTTGTCAATCACTAAAGTGATTGACAAGTCGATCTCTGTCACTGGAGCAGAGGAGGCGGGGCTTAGCATGAGTTAAAAACAAAGGAATAAAAGCATGTATTTTAACACATTTCTTTGAGTTGCACCCAAAGTCACATGTTTTGTAAGGAATGTGGGTGTCAAAATCCAACGTGAACTCAATGCATTAGACTGGGCACGGACAGTATAAATACTCGGGTGTTTGGATGCGTGGGGCTGGGTTCACAGGTCGGTGGTGGCCTTGGCGGTCAGGGCCTGGATGCGGCCGCTGTTGCAGGTCTTACAGAGCACGTGTCCGTCCAGAGGGTAGCAGCCCTGGTTCTCTCCCTCAGACAGCGGCGAGCCACAGTCCTGCAACACGTGAAGAAGACAAAAGTGGTGACCTGCTGTCTGATGAAGGGGCAGGAAAAACTTGAAATGATCAATACAACAGTATTTGCCACAGTATTTGTCATTTTTTAATTATAGAAAATCAGTAATCTATATTTTAGCCCTTTTAACAAAAAACATAATATTGTGGTTAAAAGGCCTTCAGAAAGTTGCGTGAGGAAGTTAGCTGAAACCTATACGCTTAATTTTTTTTCTTTTGAAAGATGTGCTGGGAAACGGCAAGTCCTAAGTAGCTCTGAAACAGTTGTTGTTTTGTGCTTTACAATTTTTATTTATCTAGCTTTTTTCTGCTTGAGATGTTGCTGCAGTACAGTGTGCATTGTTTTACACTGGTCCAGACCAGAGCAGAGAGGATTCATGGTCTGAATCAAGCGTGTCAGCCAAAAATGCTGACTTTTTGAAAAATGCTAATGAAGCATTTAGCATTTTACTTTAGACTAGAGCAGAGAAAATGGTCTGAACCAAGCTCCACCTTTTGACCTCTGCAGCTGTGGCCCGTCCTGCTCCACCCAGAGGCTACTCCACCTCTGCTGCTGTGACCTGAAGGGCTGCTGCTGATTATTACTATTGTTATCTTTTTAGAATTATCGTTTTTATTTTTGCTGCTACTGGACACCTGAATTTCTCCTACGGGGATCAATAAAGTATCTATCTATCTATCTTATGAATTGTTGTAAATGAAAAAAACAAACAAAACACAACTACACAAGCACTGGTAGACAGCAGACTTCCGCCAAGGAGCAAAATTCCATTCCTTTAAAAAATCGCTGATCACTTAAAAACTGATCATCGTTCCTTGTTCCATTTCAGAGATTTTGTGAAAATTCAGTCAGAATAAACCCATAACGTTCTGACTAACAAAGTAACAAACCCAGATGTAAACATAGCTCACTGGAGGAGGTGATTTAAAGCAGAGGGACCCACCTCACAGCGGTAGCACTGCACGTGGAAGTCGCGGTCCAGGGCCACGATGCGGACGGTCTCCTCCTGCCCCGGGGCCGGCATGATGGGCTCATGGCACACACAGCAGCGAGGGGCAAACTTCCTGCAACACAACAACAACCGCGTTCAAAGAGGAATCAAACACTGCGATTGAGTCCGTTCTGTCAGACATCACTCACACTACAACCTGAGTAAACCTGATTTATTCTAACTTAATCAACTATTTTCAATTCAACATATTTGTTAATAGCCCTGAATCATAACAGCAGTCGTTTCAGAGGACTTTACACAGTTCACCAACAACAGGTCAGAAAATTTAACAGTTGGAACACAGGAAATGCAAGACTAAATGGTTTTGTCCTGTTGGAAAAGCTTTCTATAAGACAATCAGAATGTCCTCTCAGTGCTACGGCAAGAAGCTAACGTTAGCAGCTAGTGGTGTATTTCAAAGATTTTACTCCTTCTTTGTTGTAAATGGTGCCTGTAAACCACTTTTATATGAGATTTTTGTCATTCTGTCTCTTCGTACTGGGTTAAAACAGACAGTGAGCCAGACACCATGTTGCCACCTTTCATGGTTACTGGGATTATTGCCTTATTAACCAGTCTAGTGTACATCCCCTGCTCACTACACTTTGACTGCACCACTCAGTGAATAGCACCTTTTCTCTTTGGCTTTTGATGAGCAAGAGACGAGTTTTTGGTTTTTATGTATGTATATATGTATTTAAATGGGTTTTTATTGTTTTTTTGCTGATATTCCGCCTTGTCTGTACAGAACTGCAACAAAAATAATAAAATATGAGGTAATAATTGCTTGAATCAAGTGTTTTAAAAATATTTTTTATCATAAGTTGAGTTCATTCTGATTGTGTTAAAACAAGATTTTTAAAATCTTGACTGCTCTAAAAAAGAGCAGTCTGGATCCTGCGGGACTTCAAAATTATCGCCCCATATCGAATCTGCCATTCATTGGAAAAATTCTTGAAAAAGTGGCCTCCCAACAACTTACTAAATTTTTAACAATGAATAATTCTTTTGATATGTTCCAGTCTGGGTTTAGACCCCACCACAGCACTGAGACCGCTCTAGTGAAGGTAACAAACGACATTCGACTTCACACTGATGCAGGTAAAGTCACAGTTTTGGTCATGTTAGATCTTAGTGCCGCGTTCGACACTGTCGACCATGAGATCCTCATGCAGAGACTGGAGGACTGGGTTGGTGTCACTGGCACAGCCCTAGACTGGTTTAGGTCTTACCTGGAGGATAGGAAGTACTTTGTGGAGATTGGAGACTGCGTCTCAGATCATGTGGCCCTGACCTGTGGAGTACCACAGGGGTCGATCCTGGGACCTCTCCTATTTAATCTCTACATGCTGCCGTTAGGTCAGTTAATACAAAGAAACAAAGTGTCCTACCACAATTACGCCGACGACACTCAGATCTTTGTCTCACTGACTGCAGGAGAACATGGACCACTGGATTTGCTCCTTCACTGTATCCAACAGATCAGTGAGTGGATGCAAAATAATTTCCTCCAGCTAAATGCAGACAAAACCGAAATCATTGTCTTTGGTCCCCAGAAACAAAGAGAGGGCGTCATCTGTCAACTTCAGTCTCTCTCCCTACTTCCTTCAGACAAGGTCAGAAATTTGGGGGTAATACTGGACTCAGACCTAAATTTCAATAGCCACATAAAATCAATAACATCAACAGCTTTTTACCATCTGAAGAACATTGCCAAAGTCAGAAATATAGTGTCCAGGGCAGACTTGGAGATTCTTGTCCACGCATTTGTCTCCAGCAGGCTAGACTACTGCAATGGCCTGCTTACAGGTCTGTCCAAACAGACCTGTAAGCAGCTGCAGTACATCCAAAATGCAGCAGCTAGAGTCCTGACAGGAACCAGGAAGTATGACCATATTAGTCCGGTCCTCAGGTCTCTGCACTGGCTTCCTGTGGCTCAAAGAATAGATTTTAAAACAGCTCTGCTTGTGTACAAGTCTCTCCATGGCCTTGCACCAGAATACATTAGTGACATGTTGGTGTCATATGAACCAGCCCGGACTCTGAGGAGCACAGGGACTGGCCTCCTGCTGGTGCCCAGAGTGAGAACCAAACATGGGGAGGCTGCGTTTCAGATCTATGCAGCTAAGATCTGGAACAATCTCCCTGAAAATGTGAGGGAGGCGTCTACTCTGTCAATGTTTAAATCCAGGTTAAAGACTGTTCTGTTTGCCTGTGCATACAACTGAAGGATTTTATCTCCATTTGTAATGCACTGCTGTCATTTATTTATTTATTTTTTTTAAATTTCTTGTGTAACTTTGAAAGTGTTAATGGTTTTATTCTTTTGTGTGATTTTATTGTTTTTATTGTGTTTTAATCTTTTGTGTGATTTTAATGTTTTAATTGTGATTCTGGTGTTTGTTTTATGTGATGATTTGTGATGTGGACTGTGAAGCGCTTTGTGTTGCCCTGTGCATGAAAGGCGCTCTACAAATAAACTTTGATTGATTGATTGATTGAAGATTTGCCAAAAGGACAAAGCCTTATTTCAATAACTGTTGCTTTATTTTGTCATTCCAAAGGAGACATTTCTTGTTTGTTTTTTTGTTTTAAGATAATTTTTCTTGTCCTAAAGGCAAATCTTGTTTTAAAGGCAGTCAAAATATGCTCAAATTAAGATTCATTTTGCCATATTTAGGCAATTTTTGACTTATTTTTTGTAACTTTTTGCAGTTCAGCCCTTTGGTAAGCCTTGGCTGTTTTAAATGTGCTCTACAAATAAATATTGATTCATTGATAAAGTGTGCACATTTAGTCAAAGTCAGTTTTTATTGAAATTATTGCAAACGCTGATTTTGAATAATATAGTGTGAGAGTTTATGAACCAAGGAAAAGGAAAGATGAGGACAAAGGTGTTCTCTCATGAATTTGGATGCAGCCAGTTTTTGCTCTTACAGCGTTAAACAAAAGGCTCCAGAGGTCAGTCTTGTCACAGGGACTTATCCACGGACCAGTGCTTCCCTGACCTGGAGCTACTGCCCCAGACACTCACTTACGGCTGGGGATTGTGTAAAGCGACACTATGATGGGAAATAAGCACGAGTTTACCACACACACACACATATACACACATACACACACATATACACACACACTCACACACACACGCGAGCTTCCAGTCACACAAGTGAGATGATGCAAGTGATATGTGGTAAGCGTTCTTCCATTTTGAGTTTTCGGTGGTTCCCCTAAAACTAAAGACCACAATCATTACGACAAATGAGGTGTGTGAGACAGGCTTGATTCTGGTAATGCTCAAATCCAGTTTTTTTTTTTTTTTTCATAATATTGTATTTTTGCCCTAAAACTTGCATTTACTTGATCTACTGTATTCTCTGCTTAAGACTGTGTAGAATCACTAACCGTACATAAGGCCGTAGGTCAGGTGAGAATAACCAATTATTAACGTGGAAATATATACAATACAAATACGCATTGCTCTAAAGTTCTACAAAAATGTTTTCCCTGCTCACGAGAAGAGTCTGTGCCAAAAGTCCTTGAACTGTTGCACATTAACAGACAACTGTGAAGTGAAACATATTATCATTAAACACGATTGTGACATTTGTTAGAAAAGTGAATAAAAAAACAAAAACAAAAAACTGCTCAAATAGTATTCTGTGCATCTGAAAACTCTCTCAAGCCATTTACGTTACTGAACCTATTCCATGATAGAGATGCTCATCATAATTATAGACTAAGAGGATGCAAAAATGTGCATGTGCCTAAATGTAGGACTACGTTAAACCTGATCATTGGGGTGGGCAAAATATATCAGACAATAATATTGTGAAAGTCAATTTGAAGATATACTTTTTTGTATTATCGTCATTTTTTTCAATACATATCACATTTAGAGCAAGTAAGATGCCCATTCGTCAAATGTTTGCCTAAAAAGCCAATCACTGCTTTATTTGTACATTTCAGTAAATATTGAGCCTTTTTGGATGTGTTCTTCCTCTGTTACTTCAATTTGATTTTTAATGTTAATACTGTATATGTTAGTGTATGTTTTGCAAAGATGTGGGAAGCACTTTAGTACATATAAAAAGCTGCTATTGCATAGATGCCCTGGCAAGCAAAACGTTGCAGATTATTTTGTGTAAAAATGATTTTAAAGATATCGTGACAATATCGTTATCGGGAGTTGGGAAAATAATATCAAGATATTTATTTTTGCCCATATCGCCCGCCTGATCATATCATATTGATCATATGTAAAAAAAAAACATTTCAAAAATATTTATTGGAAAAAATGAAGAAAGAGAGTGATGCCTTGAGCACAGAGCAAGTAGTGGGATACAGGTGTAGGGTCGGAGAGTGTTTGGGCCTGTGTGTTGTCAGAGAGTGTGTGTTTTGTGTTGTATGTCTTATACCATCGGTGGTAGTATTGTGTTACTGTCTGTACTGTACAGTTGTATGTTTGAGAATGTTTGGAATCTAATCATCCAACCTCTTTTCGAACTAGGTACAAGTTTTTTGTCTGTTATATTGACGTATGTAAAAATTAGTATCAGTAAGTAAGTAAGTAATGTTTCTTTATATGGCGCATTTTACAGACCAAGGTCACCAAAAGCGCTTTACAATGTTCAGAGTTCAGATATTGTTCCAATCCACACACGGTGATGACGGATTGTGCAGGTTAAAAATAAATAAAATACTGTAGTAGTAGTAGTAAAAGTGAGCACAAGCTTGATACAGCGGAGTGCATTCAATTGCTTTTAAAACGTTCTTAATCATTGCTCAATAATCACCCCTGACAATTAAATAAAAACCCAAAATGATGTGGATTTTGTCTTTTCTTTTCACTTCTTTTCTCTGTGGTTTTAGTTTGTGACTTCCTGTCCCACTGTTGATCGTCAGCCCCACCCTAATGTGTCTTTGTATATTGTATATTTACATCCTGACTGTATATATGTATAGTCCCACTGGTTGCTGGTCCATTGTCAATGTCTGTCACGTTTCTGGTTCTTTTGGATTTTTGAATTTTAACTTCCACTGGACTTTTACTTACCATCATTAAATACATAGTTTTTACATTCCTGCTTTTTTTGGTCCTCCTCTCACCACACCACCAAAACTGTATGGGCTGAAAATGTACACAATAAAAATCTCCATAAAGTCTCTTGCGATTTAAGTGCCCCATCTCTGCTGTTGTCACGTTGTAAACTTAATTTAAAATACTAAGTCATCATGAGCCTGGAAGGTGTTGGTCGTGGGTTTGAGCCCACCACGAGACCTACTCCATCGACTCCCACTGATGACTGCTGTCATTATGTCATTGGGCAAGACACTTAACCCCACTTTGTTGCTTTGAGAATTGGACGGATTGCCACTCCCCCAGACCCAGACATGGATTAAGGGGGAGAAGACAGTTAAACAAATCCTGAAATCGTATTTTTTCCCCAGAGCCTCAAAGTTCCTCACAAAAACTCGAACCCATGAACGTCTGAAGTCATCCTCAGATATCAAACCAAACCAAACAATCACTAAGCCGAGCCATAAACTCTCCTCCTGCTTGATCTTTCCAATGTTTCCGAATATTTACTAATATTGGTCGGACTTTAACCAGCTCTGTTTGTGCTCAGCTGCCAATATTTGTAGAGCGAAATGTGCAGCCAAAGGAGATATGATCAAATGTAACAAAAATGTGGGCGGATGGTGGCGTGTTTTTGAACTTTGGAGATGAGACGATTTGTGCATGTTTCAGCAGACAGACGAAATGGAGGCAGGTGTACACAATTTGAAGTTCACTTGACAAGTTATAAATCATTATATTTATTGTGTTTGTATGACGTCTTAGTTTTATCTAGTTTGGAAAATGTTGTTGACTTTCCAATTGGACGGAACGGGCTGCAAGACGGTATTCTTTATCTACTGTATAAGGTGCATTTCACAAAGCGCTTTCAAATTGTTGTGGGGAATCTTCCTCTCACTCCCTACAGTGATGGAAGCGAGGGCGCCATACAGGAAGTGTGGTCGTCATAGAAACCACAAAATAAACAAGGGCCAAAACATACTGAAGTTGAACCAAAGTTACAACTTGAAAGGTAGAAATGGATGTTGGAATGTAGGAGTGGCATATGAACCAACTCGGACTCTGAGGAGCACAGGGACTGGTCTCCTGTTTGGACTCTGAGGAGCACAGGGACTGGTCTCCTGTTTGGACTCTGAGGAGCACTGGGACTGGTCTCCTGTTTGGACTCTGAGGAGCACTGGGACTGGTCTCCTGTTTGGACTCTGAGGAGCACTGGTACTGGCCTCCTGCTGGGACTTTGAGAAGCAAGGGGACTGGGGAACTCTTTACCATTGCGATTCAAGAATAAATTTAATGGAATTGGATGTATATTACAAAGAGAGTAAAAAGAACTGAATTACTTATGGAAGTCCTCGATGCAGTGGATGTGGTTGGAGGCGTCCACGGTGAAGGGCACGCCGTCCAGACTGCGGTGACAGACCACGCAGGTGAAGCAGTGCGGGTGGTAGGCCTTCCCTGTGGCTCGCAGGATCCGCTCCATGATGGGCTTACTGCACAGGTTGCAGGTCTCCAACGTGTTCTGGAAGACATTAAATTCGACATCAACAAGCGTAAGAATGCAATGTGTGTATGCTTTTTTCTGTCAGATATAACATAATTGATTCTTGCTTCTGTTTTATGCTAAAGATAGAGATTATTTTGTTTTAGTATAGAGTTATTGTTCAGTTATCTTTCTGGAACTGGCGATGCAACACTGAAATTTCCCCACAGTGAGACGAATAAAGGATCTCTTCATCTTAATCTTAATGTACAGTGTGTGAGATGTCTGAAGTTTGATCTCTGGTCTCTGGTCTCTATGTGGTCTCTCTCTCTCATCCCTGTCTCTATTTCTCTGGTCTCTCTCTGGTGTTCTCTCTGGTGTTCTCTCTGGTCTTCTCTCTGGTCTTCTCTCTGGTCTTCTCTCTGGTCTTCTCTCTGGTCTTCTCTCTGGTCTTCTCTCTGGTCTTCTCTCTGGTCTTCTCTCTGGTCTTCTCTCTGGTCTTCTCTCTGGTCTTCTCTCTGGTCTTCTCTCTGGTCTTCTCTCTGGTCTTCTCTCTGGTCTTCTCTCTGGTCACTCTCTGGTCTTTCTCTGGTCACTCTCTGGTCACTCTCTGGTCACTCTCTGGTCACTCTCTGGTCACTCTCTGGTCACTCTCTGGTCACTCTCTGGTCACTCTCTGGTGTTTCTCTGATCACTCTTTCTCACTCTGGTCTCTCTGTTCTCTCTCTGGTCTCTCCCTGCTCTCACTTCCTGCTCGCTCTCAGAGTTCAAATGAGGAAGGAGGCATTGGTACATTGGTATAATATCATTGTCCATCTTTAAATCCATATTTCAGTCATGTCCAGTACACTTGGAGTAGCATTCAGCCCAGTCTCGGCCTATATCCAAGTCTGCTGCTGGCATTGTTGTAGAAGGCCATCAATAACAACATTCCCAGGCATTCAAAATCATACAAAATAGATTACTCCAAAATCTATAGTAACTGCTTTACACTCCAGTTCCATTCCATTTTCTTTGGCTTCATCTGAGGCTGGGTCGCTGATGCATCAGTATGAGCAGAGGGCCAGCCTCCCCTCTCCACCCACACCCCCTCTGCTTGTCCAAGGGAATCCCACGGCATTCCCAGGACAGCAGAGAAACCAATGGATCCTCTTTCAACTAAAGTATTGTAAGATTTTAGCACAACACTTGTAAAACACTTTTTTTATCAAACGCTCAGACAGGAATGATATATTTCCTTCAACACTAGCCGCCATTTTGACTGTTTCCACTCAAACCATTAGGATTCTGATAAAAGTAATGTTGAGAAGTTTTTGCATCAGATAAAAAAAAAGTGTATATGTTTTTTTAATGTCTTTTACAACTTTCGATAAGTGTTAAAAGTGGTGAATATAACTGAGACACCTCAAATGCGACCGATTGCTAACCACTAGCATGTAAAAGATCCAATTATTTATTGTCATTGTCACAAAAACAACACAATCAGATTTTGAGCATGATAATAGAGCGTATAAAGTGTAGAAGTTGGCAGCATGTAAACAGCACAGGGCTATAGTTAAGAAAAACAATAATACGAAACAGTGTTATTATTATTATTATTATTAGTGCACCAACATCTTAGAAAATCAAAAAAAAAAAAAAATTAAACTGCTTTTTTCAAGCAGTGAACATTAAAGAGTTAAAGTACAGTAGGAATGAGGAGCACACAGCACAAGATAAGTGACAGCACAACACTATACATATAAATGTAAATATCTATATTCAGCTTAGCCATCAAATTGACTGCTGTGGGAGTTCTCGTGTTAAAGTCTGCATATTTACAGAGAGCGCAGGTGTCTGTAGCATGTAGGCGGTGTCCTCACATGCTCTGAACCTTATTAGCAGTCTGCTCAAACCCAAACATCATTCTTTAGAGCTCCTCTCGGCCCCAGAGCGAGCGGAGCAGTAAATACGTCCAGTTTTTGATGACTACAGGTCTTCTGCCGCCAGCCGCCCGCACCGCCGCGCCGCCGCACTAGCCCCAAGACTTATCTGTGGTGTGTCTGGCTGTAATATCTGCCATGAGGTGCCATTTGTTATTTCAATATTTCATAAATAACGACCGCCTCTCTAAACAGCGATGCAATTACGGGGGTTGGATGTATCATGTGCCAGTGATGGATGGCTCTGGCTCTGATGTATTTCCTGGATCTCTCTCTGTGCTCTGCGTGTGATTTCGTGGGCAGCGGGCCTTCGACCTGCGCCCGTCTCACTCTATTCCAGATGCCCTGCTTCACTTGACTGCTTTTGTAGGAAATTGTTCAACATGTTATAATTTGTGCTGTGCTGTTATTGCTGACACAGTTCTGCTCTGAATCCAGAAGGAAAGACAGCGAAGGTATTTGGTTCTTCTGTAGCAGGCATATAAGCTTGCCATGTTATTACCTAAACTAAACTAGGAGCCATAGCTGTCCACAGAATCTGCATGAATGGAACTAAAAATAATGACATATATCAAGAAAATTCAGTTAAGATTTTACCATTTATACTGGAAAAACCTTATTTTTTCCAATATCTGCATTGTATGGAACTTTCATAAGTAATGTATAAGGACAAAGACATGACTGGATATGAAGCAAATTAAAATATTTAAGTATAGAGTAAATTTGATGTTTTGGAATAAGCAAAAAAAAAAAAAAACATATTTGATGCCAGATTGGTGATGAGGGTGGAAATGTTAAAAAGCAAACAAGGAAAAACAAGGGCCGTGGTATATGATACGCTTTTGTCTTCCTTTTGTTTCTGTTTGATCATTCTGCACAAATGTAAAGACGGTATTAATGAAGTATGTAATTTGATACAAATGAAACAACAAACAAATGAATAAATGAATAAATCTTCCAAAAATAATGTTAAAGCAAAGATTCTGTTTCCTGATTAAAAGGAATGGCCACTAATTACAGTAATATATAAAAAAAGGTGAAAAAAGAAATTTAAACCCACTTCTGAACGGTTTATAAAGATGTGTACAGTAACATTCTGTAAAATATTATTCCCAACAAACTTTAAAAATTACCAGAATGGAAACAAACAGGGGATTAAGATTAACATTAAGAGATTAAGAGATCCTTTATTCGTCCCACAGTGGGGTAATTTCAGAAAGCTTTCAACTTGAGCAACTTATAGATTTGGTTACAACTAGGGGTGTGACAATACTTTCTCCCGCGATTCGATTATCGATATGCATTTGCCCAGTATCAATACACAATTTTTTTATTTTTTTTATTTTAATTAGTATCCATACTTCATGTATAGCTACATTATGCATCTCCATTCCATTTATCATGAAATAAAGTGTACTTTATCTATGCCATAAATTGGCATATGGTATATTTCTGACCAATATATCGATAATTGTGATATCGTGATAAAATCGTTATTGTGATATTATCGTTATCATGAGCTTTGTATCGTGTATCGTATTGTATCGTGAGGTACCCTTAGGTTCCCACCACCTAGTTACAACCCTGGAACATGGGGATATTATTACCTACCACACCTAAATTGTAGTAACATTATTTTGTCTGACATAAAACTGTCCAACCAGCAGTTTTGACATGATTCAATCAGAATAAAAGCTTTTTCCTGTAGGATATCAGCATTCTCTGTTATCGAACTGAAATAATACGTTGTGACCCTGATGTCAAATGACAGAAACCGTAAACATTCAGTTGCGTGCTTGAAAGAAGAAGACAGTAGCGAGTTTGGCTCCTTATATTTAACCAGGAAAGTACCACTGAGATTAAGGACCTCTTTTTCAATGGAGTCGAATGAACAGTTTTGTGTCAAGTGCTCTCAATCTGGACTTAAAAGCATTCAATGAAATGAGTTCAGTTAATTTAGTCTTTTTCATTCCATGTAAAAGGAGCAGCATGTAGGTACAAAAGCCTTTTTTCCCCAGTTCTGTGCGAGGAACAGAGAGTAACAAAAGATCATTTGACAGAAAACCATAACAACAAACATCTCTCTTTGTGATTAAATGACAGATGGAAGAGGGCAGTAAACCAACTATCACCTTATCTCTGATACCTTAGACGTTTGTGGTGGAGGAGGAGGTTATGTCTCCTCTCTGATGGAAACACTACACATTCTTGTTGGCCAAAAAGACTCTTAGCAATAGATTTCTTGCCACCTTGCACATAACTTGAAACACGTTCATCAGGCAATATATGGGTTTGCAACAAGCTACTGCTGAAAGACCTGAAAATGCAATCAAGTTCATAATTGCATTATTTCTATATTATTTTCTAACTGGGTGTTTTTCAATGGGCTTTTCCTAGTTAAATAAAGAAAATTAACAACAACAACCTCAACAACCTCCAACAATCAGAATAGAGGGAGTAAAAGTGTATCTGTTAACATTGAGGATCTCCAAAACAATGAATCCATGCACCATGTCGAATAGGTTGTAAAGAGCTGTAAGGATATTTTTTATTCACATTATTGTTATTATTAATATGAATCCTCTGATTTCATAGTTACTGACATGACAGTAAGCAAACACAATGGAGTCCTCCATAATAAAAAAGTCCTTATTTGTGGTGAATGTTAAGTACACCTGACATTATTTTGACTCGACAACACAGGGCTATTTGTGGACTTAGGGCCTGCTGTATTTCCTGGATCTCTGTGGCCTTTAGGTGACTGTGCGTTTTATGTAAGTGTTCACTGGGCCGCACTAAGTCGCGCACGCTCCAGCTGACTCCTACTGCCTCCTGCTGCCTCCTGCTGCAGTGAGTGAGCAGCCTCTGTTTCCAAACACTGAGCCGTGTGGAGTAACACAGGGCTGCGTCAGCTGCTGCGGGCGGAGTGCCACTGTGACCCGGGCGCTGGGCTCTCCAGGGGGAAGTGTGGTGCTTTAAGGACAACCACGCTCAGCAGGGCTTCATTCACTCTGTCTTTCATTTCATTAACTAATTTTTTTCAGGGAATGGTACAGAAAAGTACAAGGCAGACGCATACAGTCAAGTCACATAGGGCAAAAGACAAAAAGTGAATGT